TTCTTTTGAGACAGGGTCTTTATCATTGTAGTGGTGCCATCACGGCTCACTGCAGCCTTGAGCTCCTTGGCTCAAGTGATCCTCCTGCCTCAGCCTCCTGAGCGGCTGGGACTACAGGCACAGGTCGCCATGCCTGGTTGTTTTAAATTTGTTTTTTGTGGAGATGGGATCTCGCTATGTTGCCCAGGCTGGTCTCTAACTCCCGGGCTAAAGCAAGCCTCCCACCTCGGCCTTCCAAAGTGTAGGGATTACAGGCATGAGCCATTGTGCCCAGCCAGTGGCCATTCTTACATCACATTGGTCCTTTAACCGCTAGCCCTACACCAAAATTGGAAGTACAGAGGCAATGGACAGCCTGGAATGAGTACAAGGGTACGGAGGGATGAGCGGATGTTAGACCCTGAACTACAGCTGACTGTCCTCTTGTCTAAGCCACCTTTAATGGATACTCTCTAGAAGAGGAAGAAGAGTATTCTCTGCTTGTTTATACATTCAAGTTCAAAGTGGAAGTACTTTTCAGTAAAAACTCAGTCACAGGTTCTTATTTCTATGAAGAAAAGGGATTTATAAGAACATTTCAGCCCAGGCACAGTGGCTCATGCCTGAAATCCCAGCTGTGAAAGGCCAAGGCAGGTGGATCACTTGAGGTCAGGAGTTTGAGACCAGCCTGGCCAACGTGGTGAAACACCGTCTCTCTTAAAAATACAAAAATTAGCTGGGCATTGTGGTGCACACTGTAATCCCCGCTACTTGGGAGGCTGAGGCAGGAGAATTGCTTGAAGCCGGAAGGCAGAGGTTGCAGTGAGCCGAGATCACGCCACTGCACTCCAGCCTGGGTGACAGACCCAAAAAAAAAAAAAAAAAAAAAAAAAAAAAAAAAAAAAAAATTTCACTCTCATTTGGCTATGTGAGTGGGAGTTGTGTTGACTTAGCGGTCTGCCTTCTCGTTAATAATCCCTGGGCTCTCTGTTGCATGGTCCAGACAGGAAATCGCATGACGATGAGTATCCTGAGGAAAATCTTTGTGAAAGATGTTGACATGTGTCCCCTACACAAACTCCAGAAGACAGAATGCGGCAGCCACAAGAAAGAGGAAACCAAGACTGTCTGCTTGGTAAGAACATCATGGAGCAGTAGCTAAGTGTTGAGAGTAAGCCTTGGTCACATCCAGGGGAGCCTCGGGACTCCCCCTCCCTAGATGGGGAGCTCTGTGAGGGCAGGGACTAGGGATTGGGATTAGTGGCTGTTTCTGGAGTGAATAGCACTTGGCAGACAGTACACACTCAATAAAAATCTGCTGAATGAACTAACCAGTCATGATTTTCAATGTTGAAGCTTTGTAAGTCACGGGTGCTTTTTAACTAGTTAAAAATGTGAAGGTCTGAGTCCAAACCACAAAGGCAGATATACTTTGAGCAGATTTACGGTGTGGGACTGCTGTATTTAGCTTCTAAGGAACCTAGACTCCCCTCCGATGCTATCAGTTATTGGGTTTTTCTTCTGTGAGAAGCCCTGCCCTCCAACCAGATGAGGGCTATACAGATGTGGCTATCTTACTGCCTCAAAAACAATGTGTAGAAGTCACACACAACTGGTTCAGGCTCCTTCATATCCAAATCTGGAGAAAGTGTGGCTTAGTAGGGTCACACAGTCAATAAAAGTTAGAGCAAAGACAAGAAGCTAGGCCTACCAGATATCCAGATAGAGTCTCTCTCCTCTACTCTAGAACTGCTTTTCTAAGAGGCTTATCACCCACTCTCCTAGAAATAACCTTCAGGACACCCTGATGGGGATTTTTTTTTTTCCCTAGAGGATCCAGAAAGGCAGGATTTTTAGAACAATGGGAAAAAAATAAATATACAGATATTTCTTTCTAAAAGTCTTTTTATTGCAAAAGCATGAAGGACTGCCTCCCACTAAGAAATAAATTTGCCCTTCCAAAGTTGGTGTAACATCTATTGAGTACCTACTCTGTACTGGGTCCTCTGCCAAGTGGGGGATCTTAACAATTTCTTAAATTGGATAATGTGTTAAAATACAGTGAAGATACAGCTTTTTAACAAAATTCTGCCCTCAACCATTCCATCAAACAAGTGTCATACTTCATCAGATCTAAGATGCTGCCAATTATAGAATGCACCAGCACTTTATGTAATCTCAAGAAAGAAAAAACTGCTGCCAGTTCAACTCTGAAGTCAATTGATTAAAAGACACATCCCAATTTCAAAGATGTTGATTTCTAACTGTATATTCGACTCAATGGAAGATCCTAAGCTATTTATGCTCTAAGTGATCATCTTTTAAAATCTAACTGCAAAGTTCAGGTTGGTTTTTAACTGTGGCACATCTCTAAACAGGTTTGAACAGAATTATGCTTGTATACCATTTAATGGTGACCTGTCCCCTTAGAATTCTCTCTCTTGGAAATATGTTCTCAAGTGCAGAGGTCTTCAAAGCCACAGTTCTCACATGTAGAATGAACCATCAGGTTCAGAATCTGCCTATGGGTTTCTTCATCTCTGTTCTGGTGTAAATTCCGAGGAAAAAAGGGAGCTTTATTGAAAGAGAATACCCCGCTGGGCATGGTGGCTCATGCTTGTAATCCCAGCATTTTGGGAGGCAGAGGTGGGCAGATCATTTGAGGTCAGGAGTTTGAGACCAGCCTGGCCGACATGGTGAAACTCTGTCTCTACTAAAAATGCAAAAATTAGCTGGGCGTGGTGGTGGGCGCCTGTAATCCTAGCTACTGGGGAGGCTGAGGTAGGAGGATCGCTTGAACCCTGGAGGAGGAGGTTGCAGTGAGCCGAGATCTCTCCACTGCACTCCAGCACAGGCGACAGAGCAAGACTCCATCTCAAAAACAAAACAAAAAAAATTAACTGAGCAAGGTGGCACATGCCTGTAGCCCCAGCTACTCAAGAGGCTGAGGTGGGAGAATCCCTTGAACCTGGGAGGTGGAGGTTGCAGTGAGCTGAGATTGCACCACTGCACTTCGGCCTGGGATACAGAGAGAGACCCCATCTCAAAAAAAAAAGGGGGGGGTGGGGGGCTGAGGCAGCCGCCTTTCTGCCTTTCTGCCTTTCTGCTGCTTGTGGTTGTCTGTTCAGATTGTTTCCTGTGGCTAATTGCAGCCCCACTCCAAACCATGAGAGCAACATGTCATTGCTTGGGCCTTCCAGCCAGGCAGGCCACACAGGTCAGAGGCGGCTGGCTAACCTGGGGATGACCACACCCTTCTCCAACCAAGATGGGCCACGGGAGGGGCAGGAATTCCTTTGACAGAAGACCTAGGGGTGTGGGCTCGCGGCGGGTGAGGTAAAGGATACCTAGTAATTGCCTTGTTGCTTTTCCATTTTCCCCAACTTTTCAGAAAGACGATGGCCTTTGTAGAGACATCAAGATGATGGTAGCTAATATTCTACTTAGTGCATGCTGTGCCAGGCACTGTGTTGTGCCAGGTATTACAGTGGGAGCATATAACTGTGTTCCCACTTTGGCTCAGAGAGGATTTGGTCACTTGCCAAGGTCCCATATCTAGCTGAGGATGCCAAGCTTCTACTCCCTCACCTTGAGTTAGGTAAAGTGTGTGTGGCAGAATTCCCAAGTCCCAGAGGACTGCTTCCTCGGGAATGGTGAAAACCAAGAGCACGGCCGGCCAGCTGGTGAGCAGCTGCCAGGTGGCAGGAAGCGGCTTAAACTAAGGGTCGAAGCAAGGCAGAGAGGAGAAGGGAAAAGGTGAGCATTTCAGGCCAGAACGGAAACAAACACCAACATTTTAGGAATGAGAAGGCAGAAGAGAGGGAGGGTTTCGCCAAAGGACTGGAAAGGGGCAAGAAAATGAAATATGAACTGGGAAGCTATAGGCAACCTGCAGAAGTCACAGCTAATTTGCATAATAAAAGGAAAAGTCATCTTGTTGGAATCCATGGTGGTGGCTGCCTAGATTTGAAATCGTATCCTATCATTTGCCCCATTTCCAGTGAGAACCAGTATAAACATTTCTAGGACAAGAAGTATATTGCACAAGGATAGACTTACAACAAAAACTAGGTTTTCTAAGACCCGAAGCCTTCTGTTTTTTGTCACAGGGGGACCCAGGAAGCCCAATGATGTGCCAGCTACAGCAGTTCGATCTGTGGGTTCTGAGAGGAGTCGTGAACTTCGGTGGTGAGCCGTGCCCTGGCCTGTTTCTGTACACCAAAGTGGAAGACTACAGCAACTGGATCACGTCCAAGGCTGAAACGGCCGGCCCTCCCCTGTCTTCACTTCACCACTGGGAAAAGTTGATTTCTTTCTCCCACCATGGACCAAATGCCGTGACACAGAAGACATATTCTGATTCTGAACTGAGCCATATTGAATCATACTTCCAGGGACAAAGAAGGACCACCATGCATTCACAGCTAGCATCTAGGGATGGTCTAGATTTTAGGGAGAAGGGTGTAAGGGAATCAGACAGGTCTCCTGAGGTGCCTGTACAACCCTTATACTATGACTATTATGGTGGGGAGGTAGGGGAAGGTGGGTCTTCTGCAGGTCAGAACAGGTTGCATCAGCCCAAAGAAATCATCTTGGTTTCCTTCGTGCTTGTTTTCTTTTGCAGCAATATCTAGTCCAGGAGCTACGCCACCAAACTGAAGAGTAAGCTCAGAACGCTGGGTACCAGGCATTCACCATGCTGTTTTGGTGTCTGTTTTTGATAGTGGCACACCAGAGCTGCCACGGATACACCCATGGTGCACACTGGGCTGGCTCTCCCTCCTCTGTCCCACTCCCATGTGTGGGAAGGTCACTTTCATCGTGCTTGTGAACTAAATGCAAGCTAACAAGTGTCAAACCATTAGCGTGCCCTGTGGTTCTTTCAGTGGTAACAGTTCCAGGGGCCAGGCTGTGAAAACACTCCCCAATGAGCAGATGTGGCCCAAGAGGTGATGCTCAGCCTGGCTAGGAAGTTGGGAATACCAGGCAGACAGGGAACAGCGAGAGGAGCCCGTGACTAGAAAGGAGCTGATTACTTTAATAGCTGACGTCTGGGTCTGTAAGCGTGGCCTGCCTCTGGCTACTTCTCATCAGGATAATCTGCCTGCAACTGCTCATTGGTTGTTTTCATTCGATTCCAAGCCTTACGGTAGCCTTTTAAGGACATCTGCCAATTAAAAAAAAAAAAAAAAAGATAAAGGAGTCGGGAGAGAAGGTCACTTGGGGAAAACTGACTGTGGCTATTCAGAATGCAACCCTCATCCAGCCCCATGATGGTGCAGGTGACCCTGTGTGGGGCAGTGTGCCCTCCATGCACAATGTAGTGCAGGGGCCACCAAGGGGCAGCACCCACCCGGAAGATCCTTCTGTAGAGCATGTTTCTGTTCAGTGAAGTGAGAAGTTGCATGTTCCTACCACGATTCTGCTACTTCTCAGCTCCAGATCTGAGGGCTCAAGTTTGGATCCTAATTTACTCTCTGCTACAAAATGGCCACAGGAGACATGGGAGAAAGTAACAAAGGAAATGGAAGCCAGGGGCTAAATGTGAAAACACCAAGGTCCCAGTTCCCCAAGTGACCTGACTGGCTCTCTAAGCTACTCTGTTGATGGTTTGAGTGACTTCAGTTTGCAGCCTGGCCATGGCAGCCTGGGTGTTTGTCTTTCTTCTGACACCAGCATATGTTTTCCCATTGTCCATTTATCTCCCGCAGCTCACACGAGCAAGTGTGCTTCCTGTCACACAGTACCATATTCAAAATCTGCGGGATTCGTGCAGAAGCAGAAAGACCCACGGCAACTATGTACATGCAGGGACTGAGGTTCTGAGTGATATTAAAAAATCCATCAGTATCTCATTTTTTTAAAAACTGGCTTCTCCATCTATAAAGTAGCAATTATTAAATTACTAGTGCAGAGGGATTCAGAGACTTCTAGAATTCATTAAGAAAACAGGCAACTAAAAACACATGATTACTACAGAGTTTCTCCCTGAAAACAGAAAAGACCTTGCCCCTAACAATACAAAAGGGGGAACTTAAAAAAAAAAACAATCATCCTTCATCTTGGTTTAATAGTTAAAGCAACTGCTGAGATTTCTCCCAGAAATTATACATCCAAACATCGGTATTCTTAGCCCAAAGACCAAAATCCTAAATGAAAACGTTGAGGACATAAAAGATTGCCCATCCTGGGGCTCCCCGTGGCTCACCTCTGCTATCTCCACTTTCCTTTCCCACATCTTGATGCTCTTCTCCAGGTCCCCATTTGAGATCTTCTCCCAGACATAAGTCATCACCTGTGGGGCCCGGAACTTGGCCAGCTGCTTCCGGAGCCTCTTGTTCACTGCCTCGGCTTTGGCCCGGTCCTGGGTTGGGAAGGAGCAGTCACATCCAGGGTACCCCAGCAGCTCCTGCTTTGAGAACTCACTGGCCCTGTCATCTCTCCCCACAGTTCCAATAGAGTTCCAAAAATAATTATTTTCTGGGGGGGACAGAGTCTCTCTCTGTTACCCAGGCTGCAGTGTAATGGCCGATCTCAGCTCACTGCAACCTCCACCTTCTGGGTTCATGCAATTCTCCTGCTTCAGTCTCCCGAGCAGCTGGGATTATAGGTGCCCGCCACCACATGCAGCTAATTTTTGTATTTTTAGTAGAGACGAGGTTTCACCAGGTTGGTCAGGCTGGTCTCGAATTCCTGACCTCAGGTGATCCACCTGCCTAGGCTTCCCAAAGTGCTGGGATTACAGGCGTGAGCCACTGCGCTGAGCCAATGTTTACATTTTCAAAGAAGTTGGGGAGGGGTAAGAATCACAAGATTCTGATTTTTTGCTAAACGTGTTTTAATCCAGTTCAGAAACACCTAGTGCAGTCTAAACAGTCTTGTTTCTTTCATTCCTTTCCCTTTTCCTTTCCTCTCTCCTTCCCTTTCCTTCCCTTCCCTCCTTCCTCTTCCTCTTCTTTATTAAGGTATATGTTGTACTTATTTTGACTTCTTAGGGTTTTTCTGTGTGTGAAAAATTGTGTACTTAAGTATACTTTGATCAGACTCAATTCACTTCCATGTCTTTTTTTAATTATAAGATATACCATCTTAACCATTTTTAACTATACAGTTCTGTAGCGTTAAGTACATTCACATTCTTGGGCAACCATTGCCACCATCCATCTCCAGAACTCATTTTGTCTTGTAAAACTGAAATTCTGTACCCATTATACAGTAACTCCTCCTTCCCTCCTCTCCCAGCCCCTGGCAGCTACCATTCCACTTTCTGTCTCTATGAATTCGACTGCTCTGACTACCTCATATAAGTGGAATCATACAGTATTTGTCCTTTTATTTCTGGCTTATTTCACTTAATATAATGTCCTTAAGTTTCCTACACATGGTAGTATGTGTCAGGATGTCCTTCCTTACTAAGGTGGAGTGGTTTTCCATGGTATGGATATACCTCGTTTGATTTGTTTATCCATTCATCCATTGATTGGATAAACTTGAGTTGTTTCCAATTCTTGGTTATTATGAAGAACAGTGCTGTCAACATTGGTGTACAAAAATCTGTTCAATCCCCTTCTCAATTCTTTTGTGCATATTCTCAGATGCAGAATTGCTAGAACTGATGGTAATTCCATTTTTTGAGTAACCTTTGTCTTTTAAATATTTATTTAAAAAATTATCATATGGTAAAATTAATTAGCCCTTTTAATAGAAAGTATTTATTAAAAATTAACATTGGCCGGGCATAGTGGCTCATGCCTGTAATCCCAGCACTTTGGGAGTCACTTGAGGTCAATAGTTTGAGAACAGCCTGGCCAACATGGAGAAACCCTGTCTCTAGTACAAATACAAAAAAATTTGCCGGGTGTGGTGCCTGTAATCCCAACTACTGGGGAGGCTGAGGCAGGAGAATCGCTTGAACTTGGAATGAGGAGGTTTCGGTGGGCTGAGATCATGCCACTGTGCTCCAGCCTGGGTGACAGAGTAAGACTCTGTCTCAAATTAAAAAAAAAAAATCAACTCAAAATCGATTATAAACTTAAACATAAGAGCTAAAATTATAAAACTCTTAAAAGAAGACAGAGGAGTAAATCTTCATGATATGGGGTAAGGCAATGGCTTCTTATACATGACACCAAAAGCTCAAGCTCAAAAAACTGGATAAACTGGACTTCTATCAAAATTAAAAACATTTGTGTTACAGAAAAAAGTATCAAGAAAGTGAAAGAAAATCCACAAAATGGAAGAAAATATTTGTGAATCTTATACAGGTGATCTTTGACTTACAATGGGTCAATTTAAGTTTTTTTTTTACTTTAAGATGGTGCAAAAGCAATACACATGTGATATAAATCACACTTCGAGTGCTGGTATAACCCTTCTGTTTTTTACTTTCAGTACAGTATCCAATAAATTACATGAGCCATTCAACACCCTATATAAAACAGACTTTGTGTTTGAAGATTTTTCCCAGTTGTAGGCTAATATAAGTGTTCTAAGCACATTTAAGATAGGCAAGGCTAAGCTATAATGTTTAGGTCAGGTATGTTAAATGCATTTTTGACTTATGGTATTTTCAACTTACAATAGGTAAGTTAAAAAGATAAATGACCCACTTATAAACCAAGCAAAGGACTTGACTAGACATTTCTCAAAGAAAGAGACAAGTGGCCAATAAGCACATGAAAAGATGCTCCATGTCATTAGGCAAATTCAAATAAAAACCACAACGAGATATCACTTCATAGCAAGTCGGATGGCCATTAAAGAAAACCTGAGAATAACAGAGACGTGCAGAACTGGAACCCTCATACACTGTGGGAATGCAAAATGGTGCAGCCACTTTCGAAAAACCTAGAAATTCCATGTCTAGGTGTTAGACACAGAATTACCATGTATAACTACAATTCCACTTTTAGGTATATGTCAAAGAGAAAAGAAAACATGCCAAGAGAAAAGAAAACACGTATCCACACAAAAACTTGTACCAGAATGTTCACATCAGAATTACTCATGAGAGTCCCAAAGTGGAAACCCAAATGTCCACCAACTGATGAGTGAATAAATAAAATGCGGGCTGGCCACACAATGAAATATTATTCAGCCATAAAAAGAAACATATGATTAGCCACTCATAAAAGACTACATATTGCATAATCTCTTTTACATAAAATGTCCAGAACAGAGGAATCCACAGAGGCAGAAAGTAGATTAGTGGCCGCGGAGAGCTGGAGGGTGGGAGCGGGCTGTGGTGGGGAATGGAGAAGAATTTCTTTCTTTCTTCCACCCCGCCCCTGAGACGGAGCCTCCCTCTACCACCCAGGCTGAAGTGTAGTGGTGTGATCTCAGCTTACTGCAACCTCCACCTTCCAGGCTCAAGCAATCCTCCTGCCTCAGCCTCCCTACAAGTACCCACCACCATGCCTGGCTAATCTTTGTATTTTTAGTAAAGGCGGGGTTCTCACCATGTTGGCCAGGCTAGTCTTAAACTCCTGACAAATGATCTGCCCACTTTGGCCTCCCAAAGTGCTGGGATTACAGGAGGAGCCACCACACCTGTTCTATGAGGAAGGATTTCTAATGGGTGCAGGGTTTCTTTCTGGGGTGATGAAAATGTCCGAAAATTACTGTGCTGATGGTTACACAACTCTGTGAATATATCATAATCCACTGAAATGTACAGTTTAAATGGGTGATTATATGGTATATAAACTGAATCCCAATAAAGCTATTTTCAAGACGTTAACAAGAAAGCTACAATATACTAAGCAGTGAATGCCAGGCTTTAAAAAAAATCAGTTTTAAGTTTTACTTGTAATCTAATAACTATCAACCCAAGGGAAAAATAAGAACCACAGCAATTCTGCATTAAGAGAGTTCACAGGTTTTTGCTTTAACTTTGCTACTTGCCACTCTGTATTGAGACTGGGTGGTTTTTTTTTTTTTTTTCACAGAAGGTGTTAGTTCTCCTTCGAGAATATAATGTGTGTGCTGTGACAAAACTTAGATGTTAATAATCCTGTGGCTTTGGGGCCATTTGTAGGCAAATTTGAGGCCACACACACTAAGGGAGACACTTCAGGCCCACACAAGACAATGGCACTAATAATCATACAAACAGTTTTAGGGATTGACAAAGTGTCATTATATGTGGTCCTCTCTAGCCACTACACTAAGGGCAATAGATCTATTTCACAGATGTGGAAACAATCCTATCTATTTAAAAGCTTGTTCAAGACTAGAAATTGGCAGCACCAAACCTGATGCCAGGCCTTCTGATCATAAGTCCAGCACTCTTCCTCCTGCGTCCTCCCCAAAAAGTTCTCTTTGCATCACATCCTATGTACATTTAAGTTACGGAAATTCAGCTAGCAATGCTCAGCAAAGTAATGAGACGTAAATTGCAATTTAGACAGGCAGGGAGCTCAGATGACTCCACTCACCTCTTCACACAGTGACCACAGGCCTTGGAGTGAGCCTAGGACAGAGGTCACAGGTCTACTGTTCTTCAGCTGGTCTCTGCTACAGGCTACTCAGGCTGTGAGCATCCAGCCTGGGTACCAGGTGAGATGTCATATGGTTATGACCTCTCTCTCTCTGTCTCTCCTTTACATCAAATGTTCTATTTTGGCATGTGTATTTTTTTTTCCTATCCGATACGTTACTATATGCATTGAATATTTTTAATGGGGTTGTGGACACAACACTGAATACTGTACTTTATGGGTCACTTAAGGAATTCCCAAATATTATTTGGACTCCATGAAATTTTTGTTTTCTGAGCTGACTCTAGAACCTAACCCAGCAGTAAAATGCGACACACCTGGACTGTAGGTCTCCAGGTGCCACTCTGTGCTTTGATGGCCCAGAGCTATTTTGATTTTTATGGTCTAGGCTTTTCTAGATAAACCAGCAAGGTGGCTTAGATCTTGGCGGACCCTGACTCAAGCCCTTATAAACACAAGGAGACAAACGTCAGAAATACCACATTTGGCCCTCTCCTACCTCCTCTACTTGTAGCATTTCTTTTTCAATTTTTTCAAGTAGCTCTTTCCTCAGCAAGATCTCCTTGTCCAGATTGATGCACATGTCCATTGCCTTGTGAAGCTTGCTCTGAAATATAACAACATGGCAAGTCTTGAGCTAAGGTGACCTCTCAGAACCGCATGAAGGGGAGACATCTCTTGGTTAACACACAGAAAAGCAGGACCAGCCGGGAAATCCAAATTGCCCTTCTCATGGTTGCCCAGATTTTCCAAATCCTGATGTCTGAGAACTGGTCAGGGAGAAGAGGACCTTGGGATCTTGTCCTCAGAAGGAGAGGGAGAGAGGTCAGGCATACGAGGACCTACATCCTGCCCCACTACTCACTAAGGAAATCTCTGGGGAGGTCCCAGAACCTCTCTAAACTTGGGTCCAGTCACCATGTAGGGTTGTGGAGAGGCTTACAGGAGATGGCCTGGTAGAGCACTGAGCACAGTGCCTGGTACATGGAGAACATCCAGCAAACAGCTGCCATGACTATCTCATGTGGATGGAGAGTGGGGATTACTCCCCACGAGGTGGGTGCTACTACTATCTCCATTTATAGGTGAGAGAACTGACCTTTAGGGAGGTAAAACCATATCCCCAAGGTCACAGAGACTAGGGGGCCCAGGAATTGAGCCCAGACAGTAAGATTCCACAGCCCACAGGCTCCACCACTGTCTCATCTCCGAATGAAGCTGGGCCTACTAGTTTTAGGGGAGTCCTGCAAGAGCAGTCTTGCAGATTTCCAGGGCATCATCTGCCCTTCACCAACTCCTGCAGGCCCCTGCTTCTTAGACTGGCCCTCTTTTGGCCACTGTCTCCTAGTGGGGAAGAGTCAGTCCAGAGCTGGGATGTGCTCTGCTAGGCAGAGGAGTGGGCCAAGGGAAAGACGCAGTGATTTGGGGGAGCTCGCTCAACAAACCCTGGAAACCCACCCACCAGGCGCCAGTCCCTGCATCAAGCACTGGCCAGGGAAGCAAACTAGGCTCTGCCACCAGGAAGGCGGCTCACAGCCTGCACAGTGGAGGAGATGCAGTCAAATAATCGTAAGAAGAAATGTAAGACTGCAATTGTGCCACGCTGTGAGAATACCAGGACAGTGGCTGGACAAGGTTTTCCTGAAAAAAAAAAAAAAAAAAAAAAAAAAAAAAAAAAAAAAAAAAAAAAAAAAAAAAAAATGCTGGAAAGAGAGCTGAAAGGTTGAGTCAGCATGTTAAGGTGAAGAGAGAAGAGAACATTCCAAGATAAGGAAAGAACCAAGGAGAGGAGGATCTAATAGGAGCTGGGAGAGTGGGTGGAGAACAGCAGGGCCACAGTCAAAGTGAAGACAGGAGGAGGGGGCAAGGGCATTGCCCCAGGTTTTCAAAACAGGGGAGCCCAGAACCGCCTGCCTGGGGGACCTTCTGGCACCCAGGGACCATTCTTTTCTGCACTCCTATTTCCAGGCCTCACTTCTTTAAGGCTCATTTCTGCATGAAAATTGCTCTGCTAAGGAAAACAAAAGTGAATGAGACCAGACTGACGGGGTCAGCTGTGGGGCTGGGGAGATGGGGCAAAACTTTGCTGCAAACCAGCAATTCAGGTGGGAGGAAAGAGAGCAGAGGGAAGACAAGCGGTCAACAACTTAGAGCGGCAGGGCAGGAAGGATGGAACTTCCAGGGCACAGCAAGGCCGTGACTGGCTCTGCTGGGGCAGGTCTTCACAAAGGTTGATGAGAACGGAATTGGTGATGCTGAGTCAAGATGTGAGGAGGCCACTTCTGAAAATAACTACATTCACTTTCTATTGCTATGTAACAAATTACCACAAACTTTTGTGGCTTAAAGCAACACCCATCATAGCTTCCATAGGTCAGAAGTCTGGGCACAGTGTAGCTGGATTCTCTCCCTTGGTCCCATCAGGCTGAAATCAAGGTGTTCGCCAGGGCTGTGGTTCTTGTCAGGGGCTCAGGGTCCTCTTCCAAGCTCACTTATTGTTGGCAGAAGGGCACTTCCTTGAAGCTGTAGGACCAAGGCCCTTGTTTTCTTCTGGGCTGTCAGCAGGTCACTCTCAGCTCCCAGAGGCCCCTCTTGGATCCCTTCCATGTAGCGCCTCTGTCTTCAAGCTCACAATGGAGAACACTTCCTCCAGCAATTTCCCCTCACGCTTCGCATCTATGATTTCCTCTTCCAGAGACACTCTACAATCTTTTTTTTTTTTTTTTTTTTTTTTTTTTTTTTTTTTTTTTTTTTTTTTTTTTTTTTTTTTTTTTTTTTTTTTTTTTTTTTTTTTTTTTTTTTTTTTTTTGTGATGGAGTTTCGCTCTTGTTACCCAGGCTGGAGTGCTATGGCGCAATCTCAGATCACTGCAACCTCTGCCTCTTCAAGTGATTCTCCTGCCTCAGCCTTCCAACTAGCTGGGATTACAGGCATGCACCAGCACACCTGGCTAATTTTTTGTATTTTTAGTAGAGACGTCATTTCTCCATGTTGGTCTTGAACTCCCAACCTCAGGTGATCCACTTACCTTGGCCTCCCAAAGTGCTGGGATTACAGGTGTGAGCCAATGTGCCCAGGCGAATCTGTACTTTCAAGGGACTAGTGTCATTAGATCAGGCCCAAGCAGGTGATTGCCCTATCTTTAGGTCAACTGTGCTATACGGTATAACTGAATCATAGAACAGAACAGAACTTAATAACTGAACCCATCATATTCACAGTCCTGGCTGGAGATTATACAAGGTGTAGACCCTAGGGGGTGGGGAGTCTTGGGGACATCTTAGAATTCTACCTACAAGGCCCCAAATCACTAGTTTATAGTCAGTCCGGCGTGACTCAGCACAGCAGTAGTCACATCTTACATTCCACCAGATTCCACCAGGCAGGGCTTGAGGGCATAAAGTCAGAGAAAAAGCTACCACCTTGACTCAGGCTCACACATGAAATTCACAGAAGAGAAGAGCCCATTTCTGCTTGATGCTGTCTAAATGCTGTACCCTTAGCACTTAGCCCGGTGCCTACCCTATTGGAGGTATTGGTATTTTTAGTATAGAGAAAAGTTATTCTGCATGCCTTTAACAAGGTTTCACACTTGGGTGTTTGATATTTATTTCTTTAATTTCATTTTATGATTGCTGGGAGAATGAATGTTTGATATTTATATCAAAGTGGCCCCTCCTGTCACTGTCCCATGCCTACCAAGTATACACCTATACTGACAGCAGTTCATTCAACAATATTGGCCAAGTACCTGCTTTAGCCAGGCACCGTCCTTGATGCTGGGGACACAAGACATACTAGATAGAGCACCATCCTGGTGACACAAAACTTGCCTCTAAGAGGTAACGAATTGGGCAGTGCATGGTGGCTCATGCCTGTAATCCCAGCACTTTGGGTGGCCGAGGCAGGTAGATCACAAGGCCAAAAGATTGAGGCCATCCTGGCCAACATGGTGAAACCCCATCTCTACTAAAAATACAAAATCAGCTGAGTGTGGTGGCACGGGCCTGTAGTCCCAGCTACTCGGGAGGCTTAGGCAGGGGAATCATTTGGACCCGGGAGGTGGAGGTTGCACTGAGCCAAGATTGTGTCACTGCACTCCAGCCTGGCGACAGAGCAAGACTCCGTCTCAAAAAAAGTAAAATAAGAGGTGAAGAATCTTGCCCAGATGAAGCACCTGCCCCAGGAGGAGGAGCCCCTAGTCAAGCACAGGCAAGGTCTGACTCCACAAGTCAGTTGTGCTGCCTCCATTTCCCCCAGGAATGACTCACTCTGCCCACTGTGGCCTGTGCTGCTGATCTTGGGTACTGCAAGCAATCTGCACTGCACGTTTAGACCCATACTAAAGAGGTCAGGTCCTGCAGCCTGGGAGTTTCATTTTAAAAATCAGTAGCTCCATTTCCAAACCCTTGGCTTTCCCCCTACAAGACCAGGCAGGCCTGTGCTACTTAATTGATTCCGAAGGAGAAGATCAAGGTCCAATGTAATCTAACCAAGTACAATTCGCTCTCCAGGCAACAAGCGCCTGGAAGTCACAGGAATTGCCTCCTCTAGAAATAACAGTGATCAGATAAGCTAAAAACTGACAAGAGAAGCTAAAAGTGGAAGATCTGTTGGATGTTTATGACACATAAATTTCAGAATGCCGACACACTGTTTTCTACATACTTTCTGCTGGGAAAGACAGTTGGGTGGGATACACACGGAGTTAGGTGGGATGCATGCTAGACTGGGAGTCCCAGCTCTGTCAGTAACTTGTTGCTTGAATTTGGCTAATACTCTGCATTTTTTTTTTTTTTTTGAGACAGAGTCTTGTTCTGTTGTCCAGGCTGGAGTGCAGTGGCATGATCTCGGCTCACTGCAACCTCTGCCCCCGGGGATACAAACCATCCTTGTGCCTCAGCCTCTCAAGTAGCCAGAGATTACAGTGTATACCAACTGCGATTTTTATTCATGGTGAGTTGAGAACTAACCACATTTAGAGCCAAATTAAACAGGGCTCTTAATGTGGTTAGTTCTCAAAACTCACCATGAATAAAAATCACTTGGGAATTAACAACAACAACAAAAAAACAAAACAAAATAAATAAGATGCCTGGTCCCCACTTCCTACACTTGATCTTAGCCAAAAGGCCGAGAAGCGATTTGGCCCCCACTTCCTAATTCAATTAGTCAGGGTGGGACTCAGGCATCTATCCATCTATCCATCTATCTATCTATTGGTCATCTATCATCTATTATCTATCTATCTAGATCTATCATCTATCTACCTGTCGTCTATCTACCTACCTACCTACCTATTGTCTATCTATCCATCAATCATCTATCTATCTACCTATCTATAGGGTTCGTTTTTTTTTTTTTTTTTTTTTTGCATTTTTTTTTTTTTTTTTTTTTTTTTTTTTTTTTATTTTTTTGATTTTTTTTTTTTTTTTTTTTTTTTTTTTTTTTTTTTAAAGAAAAACTCTGGTTCTCATGCACAGCCAGGGTTGTGGGAGCATTCAGGGAATTTTAGGACACATGGCTTGACAGCGAGGGGGCACCTAACCGCTGCATGAAACTGCAGTGCACAAGAACCTCCCTGTGGCCAGAAAGAGGCGTGTGGAAAGCCTTGCGGCAGGAGGCGGATAGGCATCAGGAATGGCCTTACTTTGTAGGCACTGAGGACCTGTAGAGTGTTTCCAGATGACAGCTTTAGCTGGGTCAGTTCTTGATTCCTTGCTTCAATTGTCTCCAGAAATTGAGCATTCTCTATCTTCAACTGCTGAAAATCAACCTCATGAAGGGCCTCGCCCACTTCTTCCTTCTACAGCTCAGAAAGATGACAGAAAAGATGATACATCAGTTGTGATTCTGAATGTATGGCTCACATCTTGCAACTCTTGATAAGACTTTGAAGGTCAGTCATCTTTCAGTCATTCAACAAACACATACTGGGCATCTGGAAATAGAGATTGCAGTAAATACAATGTTCCCTGGCCCCATGGAGTACATCTGAGGGTTTACAGACAAGCCATTGACTCAATAGCGTGGTGCAGTGGGATGTGTTCTTCGGGGGAATGTTGGGGAGTGGGGCAGAGGACACACAGAAGCCCCTAAGCCAGGCCAGGGGAGGATGAAAGACTGAGTCACACACAGAGGGCATCCCACAGGGGGTCGTGCCTAAACAGGGCCATGAAGGAAGAGTAAGAATCAGGCCATTTAAAAGTTGTATTTAACATGAAAAACCCTAGAAAAGCAGCCCATAGATTCCCCCTCCTTTGATCATCTGCTATTTCTGCCTGCAGTGCATGAGTGTATAAGGTTCCCTCCCTGACCTGGCCCCCTTACCAGCCCTGCCAGGCCTATGCCATTTTATATTTGTGGTAGACAATAGCCCTACTTGGGAACTGCTGTGCCTCACTCCCACGCCTCACTCATGCTGTCTGTCCTACCTCCGGGGATTCATCTTCTTCCCCTTCCCAAAACAACACAACTTCCTTAAGCCCCAATACAATCATGGCTCTAGCTCCAATGCTCCCAACCTGTTTTCCACACCAGAGGGTGACCTCTCTCTCTGCTGAGCCCCTGGAAGCTTTAACTCTGTGGTCCTTGGTATGTAGCTTCTGTATACACAGTTATACATACACACCTTTTCTCATGACACTGCTGCCCACTAGTCTATGAGCTCTCAGGGGCAGAGCCCATGTCTGTGTTATTTCCGTGTAGCAGCAGCATTAAAGATGATCCACCTATTCTCTATCTCTAGCTTAAAGCCCTTCTTCAAGATGCCCGTGCTTGCATGAATCCCCAAGTACCCGGAACTGACGATCTGCAGACAGCTCCACTGGGACCACTCACTGCAGAACTTTTTCTTGCACTGAACTCAAATCTCCTTCCCTGACACCTCCATTCACGGCCCCAGCTCTGCTCTCCCTTCCTGCTGCAGCCCTGAGCACTTGGAGACAGTGGCTGTGGCCCTCCTGGGCCCTCTCTCCTTTGGGTGCATCAGTCTCAGACTCTTGGACATGGTTTCTATTCTCGACATCTGGCCTGCTCTCTGTGTGAACTCTAGTTTGCCAATTCTTTCAAGGGTGGAGCTCATCCTGTGACATGACACTCCAGGTGGGGGATGCGCATGCAGAGTACAGCAAGGCTACCCCTTCCTTGGTCTAGACACTGTGTTTCTTTGAGTGTAGCCCAGGCCACAGCATCACCACCAGCCGAGCTGACTTTATCACATACTCTACGACTAAGCCATCCTGTTCCTGAGCAGGTATTTTGGGGGATCAAAAGTATAGGGTCTTACGCTTGTCCTTCGTCACCTCATGCTGTTAAATCTGTCCCAGCTTGCTGAGGTCTTTCTGGATCCCAAGTCACCCAAGCAATAGGCTCCCAACATGTTAATTCTCCTGCCCAGTTTTGTGTCCTTGTCAGGAGCCCCCTTTGATGAGCATGCCATCAGTGCCCAAATTCGAGTTAGTGATAAAAATATTGAGCTAGGAAAGGACGGAGCCAAGTCTGCCTTACTGCCTTTCATTAGGAGCCATCAGGGTCAGCTGGTGGCGATGCTATGACACACCAAAGCACACGTCACTGTGCTACCCAGGCCACTTCCCAGAAAGGGCCAACAAGCATGTCTTGAGGGTCTTTTAAATTCAAGCCAACTCTGTCTACAGAAAAGCTTTGATTTGCCTGCACAGTCATTGTATGAGTTTCCTATTGCTGCTGTAACAAATCACCACAAACCTCATGGCTTTAATGCAAATTTATTATCTTACAGTTCTGGAGGTCAGGAGTCTGACATGGGTTTGGAGGCTCAAATCAACAGGGCTGCATTTCTTCCCAAGCCTCTATGGGAGAATCTGTTTCCTTGTCATTTCCAGCTTCTAGAAGCTGTCTGCAGTCCTTGATTCCTGACCCTTTTTCCCTATCGTGAATATTCATCACTCTGATCTCTGCTTCTGTTATAGCTTCTCTCACCCTCCTGCTTCCCTTTGGTAAGGGGGGAGATTATATAGGGCCACTCAGTTAATTCAAGATCATCTCCCCATCTCAAGATCCTGAAATTAATCACATCTGCAAAATCCTTTTTGCCACATAAGTTAATGTATTCACAGATTCCAGGGATTAGGATATGGACATTTTGGAGTGGGGGTGAGAACCTTATTCGGTCTACCACAGTAACCTTAAAAAGAAACAGAGAGAGAGAGAGAGAGAAAGGACCACATACCTGCCTCAATTGTAAAAGCATTTTTTTCCTCTGAACTTTGAGAGAAACATTTTTCAAATGTAATTTCTCCTTCATATTATCCTAAAAAATAAAGGCACATTTTAATGCATTTAATCCATTTCTCTCCTCTTTCCTATTGATTTGAAAAGTGGACGGTTCTGGGGCTGCAAACCAAACTTTAAGCCCTAACATTCTGTCATTTATTTTAGGTCCTTTTACTTCTATTCAGGCTGGGGCTGCTATGACATTTCATGACCAAGCAGCAGAGGACACTGGTTTTGCACCATGCAAATTTTATATTGCTTTCAAATTCAAGATTATTTGAGTGTATGCTACTGTAGGGGCCTTTCCTGACAAAATGACCTTATGATTTTTTGGTCTTGTATTCCGATGTTAGTTTACATAATTTTTATTACTATTTTTTTTTTCTTTTTTTTTTGAGATGAAGTCCCGCTCTGCTGCCAGGCTGGAGTGCAGTGGCATGATCTCAGCTCACCACAACCTCTGCCTCCTGGGTTCAAGCAATTCTCCTGCCTCAGCCTCCTAAGTAGCTGGGACTACAGGCGTGTACCATCATGTCCTGCTAATTTTTCTATTTTTAGTAGAGACGGGTTTCACCATGTTGGCCAGGATGGTCTTCATCTCTTGACCCCCTGATCTGCCCGTCTCGGCCTCCCAAAGTGCAGGGAGTACAGGCATGAGCCACTGCGCCCGGCCTTTATCACTCTTAACATGTTAGGGTTAGTAACCCTACTTTGTCTCCAGGATCTGTAGCTTGACATGTTGTAAAGACTCTGGAAATGAAGGAGTAACCCCCAAATTCTCCTTTTTTCTCATAACAGCCCAAGGTCCATCTCCTGATAACAAAGGAACTCAAAGAGCTTGAGATTTACCCTGTAATCCCAGCACTTTGGGAGGCCAAGGCGGGTTCACTGCTTAAGCCCTAGAGTTCGACACCAGTCTGGGCAACACATCTTTATAACAATTTTTTAAAAGTCTTTTAAAAAATTTGAAAAAGAGATTTATCTGTCCTACTCCAAAGTCACCTCTCTAGACAGGTTGGACCAGCCCAGCCTCATACTTTTCTCAAGAAAATACATCAGATCTTGAAACACATAACAAAACAAACAAACAGAAATCAACCTGAAGTACTATTGGTGTTAGCCTTGATAAACATGCATTTAAATTTTTTTTTTTTTTTTTTTTTGAGATGGAGTCTTGCTCTGTCGCCCAGGCTGGAGTGCAGTTGTGCAATCTCGGCTCACTGCAACCTCCGCCTCCCAGGTTGAATCAATTCTCCTGCCTCAGCCTCCCGAGTAGCTGGGATTACAGGCATGTGCCACCATGTCCAGCTTATTTTTATATTTTTAGTAGAGATGGGGTTTCACCATGTTGGCCAGGCTGGTCCTCGAGTTCAGATGATCACCTGCCTCAGCCTACCAAATTTCTGGGATTACAGGCGTGAGCCACTGTGCCCAACCACAAACATACATTTTAAAACATGCATATACTCACACACTTTAGGGGATGCAAAAAAAATCTGCATATGTGGGCAACATGTATGGTGGACCAAATGGAGCTAGGCTGCTTCACATGGATGATTTCCATAATATCCCTCAAAGAATGTTTTCCGTTTCTAAGCTCTGTCTGCAAACTCGTCTGCCAACTCACCCTCCGGCGGTTCATGTCCTCGATGTACTTCATCACTTTCTGAGTGGCCAAAATACTCCCTTTCTTCTTAGATATGGCTTTTAGAATATCTTTTTCAAACTCGTGCACTGCTCTCTCAACTTCATCCCATCGAATTTCAGCCTCCTCAATGATCGCCTGGGGGAGTCAGCACAAAGAGAAAAGAGCGTTTCCAAAACTCTTCAAGGATGTGTCCTCTGAGAACCTAAGTTCCCAGGCCTCTTTGTGTCCCAAAATATTATGTTTCTTCTTAGTCTTAGGAACATATCCTTAAGATACAAACTTGACTACAGCTAGTGCTCGACTTACGACCACGGTCGGGACCACGGACCGGTCATATCACGATTTGGTCGTAAGTTGAGTAGGCTATATGTACAGTTGAAATGGTGCACGTGGAGATGGTAGTGCTGCCGGAAGCTGGTCCGCACTGTCGTACGCCCAGCTGGGCAACATTTGCGCTGCCAGACGCGGAGCAGTCGTGGCTAGCTATTGCGGTCGTAAAGTCGAATGGTCCTAAGTTGCATAGGTGGTAAGACGATCAATACCTGTATTTCAATGCTATTAGTTAAAAGCATTCTTCAAAAAATAGAATCCATAAAAACGGAGCAAACAAAAACAGGATGTCAGGTAGCTATCTTTTTTTTTCTTTTTTTGAGACAGTCTCACTCCATTGCTCTGTTGCCCAGGTTGGAGTGCAATGACACAAATTCAGCTCATTGTAACCTCCAACTCCTGGGTTCAGAAAATTCTCCTGCCTCAGCCTCCCGAGTAGCTGGGATTACAGGTACCCGCTACCATGCCAGGCTAGTTTTTGTATTTTTAGTAAAGAAGGGATTTCACTATGTTGACCAGGCTGGTCATGAGCTCCTGATCTCAGGTGATACACTCACCTGAGCCTCCCAAAGTGCTGGGATTATAGGCATGAGCCATCATGCTTGGCCAAGTTATCTATCTAAATATGCATTTCCATATTTGAAATTATTTATCCATTAAAATATCTGGAAGGATATACATCAAAACACGAACCACAGTTACATCTAGAGAGATGGATTAGTGGGGAAATAAAGAGGCACTCTTACTAGATACTTCTGTTACTTTTAAAAAAAGACGTTATATTTCCAAGCCTGAGTATTTGTGGGGGGCGGGAATGGAAAAAAAATAAAGAAGATATTATAAAGCCAGGTATGGTGCCTGTAGTCCCAGCATAGGCAAGAGGATTACTTGACGCCAGAAGTTCAAGGCTGTCATGTGATATGATCACGACCATGAACAGCCACTGCACTCCAGCCTGAGCAATACATCGAGGCCCCATCTCTGAAAACTAAAAAAAAGGATTTTACAACATGAATATCTGTACTGACATAAATAGATGTTAAATGAAAAATACAGTTTAGAAAATAATGTGATACTATTTTTTAAAAGAAATTCATATATGCATAGAAAATTATCTATAGGAGGTAAATGGAAAGTCAACAGAAATTACCTCTGAGTGGTAAATTGTGAATTTTTTCAAATGTTCTTTTAGCTTAACTGTATTTTTCAATATTCTACAACATAAATTGACTTGAAATAAGAACACACACACACACACATAATTATAATATTTTTTTCACCATGTTGGCATGGATGGTCTCGATCTGTTGACCTCATGATCCGCCTGGCTGGGCCTCCCAAAGTGCTGGGATTATGGGCATGAGCCACCATGCCCAGCCATATACAGTAATTACTTTAAAAACTAAAATGGAATGACGTCTGTAGCCAGACTGCAAATCATCCTAATTCAGGCTTTTTTTCTGGGCACCAAGAAGCAAAACCATTTTCACTGGCCAGCCTCAGGCACCAGCCTCTTCCCAGCCCCATCATCTCCACGTGGTAGAACATTAATCCACCTGAAACGCTGCTTTCAACATGTTGCTCTCCTACTCAAGTATCCTCAGTGGGGTCCAGCTTTCTAAGACAGCAGAGATAAACTCCTTGGCATGGCTGTCAAGAAATTGCTGCCTGACTCAACCTGAATTCCTAACGCAGCCTCCAAAGCATCCTCTTCTCTAATTGCACCATCTTCCTCAATGTCATGAGCTCGCCATGCTGGTGCCCACCTCTGCTGCGTTGCTCATGTCATTCTCCTTACCTGGGGTACCCTTCTTTCCCTGTGCCTTAAACAGATGCCATCATTCTTCAAGATCATGCCAAGTCCCTGTTAAGCCCTACCTCCTCAACAAATTCATTTTGACCACTCTAGCCCACACTGATCTCTCTCTCTCTCTCTGCACTTGATGCTTACACTGCACAACCTAGCAGGTCAGGATAATGCTACCACATCCCAAGCTCCTTTAGCTTGCTAGAATTCAACCACGCATGTTTGGAAAGAGAGAGGGGTGAAAGAGTGGGATCAGTTGATGTGATACAGATGGTTTTATCAATGGGAGACTGAGTCTACAGACTGGTCCCTCTTGAGATGAGTGTGACTCTGTGAATGCCCACATTTAGAAACAGAAAAATAGAAAAACTTTAAAAATATAACAGAAGTATCTATTTTTCATACAACATGGCTCTCAAATGCAAGCCAACAACGTCATCCTGTAGGCAACCGAATTAACAGTGATGTTTCTTCTCTGGAGGAAACTGTATTGGACTAAGAGACACTATACTGGTCTGTAATAGGGCATGAACCATGGGCACGTGTGCTGTATAGAAATGCTGACCTAGGGACTTTTCACTCCATTCACTGTGATGGCTAATATTAGGTGTCAACTTGACTGGATTCAGGGATGCCGAGATAGGTGGCAAAGTATTGTTTCCAAGTGTATCTGTGAGGGTGTTCCCAGAAGAGACTGATATTTGAGTCGGTGGATTGGGAGAAGATCCACCCTCCTCAGTGTGGGTGGGCACCATCCAATTGGCTGCCAGAGCAGATAGAGCAAAGCAGGCAGAAGAAGGCAGATAAGCTTGTGTGCCGAGTCTTCTGGCTCTCCCTCTTCTTCCCGTGCTCGACAATAGCTTTTGCTCCTGCTGCCCTCAGACATCAGACTCCAGGTTCTTTGCCTTGAGACCCTGGGACTTGTACCAGCAGCTTCCCTGGGGCTCCAGGGAGTTCAGCTGCAGACTGAAGGCTGTAATGTTGGCTTCCCTGGTTTCAAAGCATTTGGACTTGGACTGAGCCACTACCAGCTTCTCTCTTTTCCCAGCCTGCAGATAGCTGATCAATCATGTGAGACTTTGCCTTGCAATCATGTGAGCCAATTCTCCCTAACCAACTCCCTTTCATACAGACATGTATGCTATTGGTTCTGTCCCTCTCGAGAACCCTAATACGCTGACTTAAACCTCAAACTCCCGGTATTATTAAGAAATTCTTGTAAAATTTTAAGAGCATTTAGGATTATCATGATTATGTCTTCTAAAAGAATTCATATATTAAAGATATATACTGAAATATGTACAGAGAAATAGTATGTCTAGAATTCACTTCCTAGTAACTCAGCCAGATGAAGGGAAAGTTGATCAACCAAGAGAGGCCCTATATTGATGATCACTGCACCTGGGTGTTGAGTACATAGGGGTTTGTTGTGCTAGCCTCTCTACATTTGTGTATTTTTAAAATACCCCATTTAAAAAGTTTAAAAATGTGTTGTCCCCTCAGGCGGGTGGTAAGTTCCTCAAAGGTAGGCTCTGGATTCTCCTCATTCTACTAGTGTTTATTCTAAAGCCCCAACAATCACATGCACCCACTCTAGGTACATCTCACCGGCGCGGAGGTGGGGAGCCTGGGCATCGCGGGCTGCGCCTGGAAGAAGGTGTACCTCATGATGCTGCAGGTCACGTTCCGCATTTGCCCTCATGCGCCGTAGGTCATCCTTTGTGTCTTCCAGCTCCTTTTGTACTAGCTCGAGTTTTTGGTCGACAGTCAGGACCATCCCACGATCCACACCTGTCCGGGATTTGGATCTACGCCTGCCTCGAAACTGCAACCCAAGAGAAACAAAGTCATTGTCAAAGAGGAATTAGTAATGAACCAGCCCAAGGTGGGCGTCAGCATGATCCTCTGACCTGCTAGAAGTTCCCCAGAGTGACAGCCAGGGAGAACAAATTAGAAAAAATTCAAGGTAAAAGGATGCTGGATATTAGACCTGAGGTGACGTTTATTTCTCAAGTCATCCTAAGCCCCTGCACTAAATACTTCAAAGGCCTATGTTTGACAATGAACTGGAAATAAATAAGGGTAAACATCTTGAGGGTGGGAAGGCTGTGAATCCATTATAGCCTAGCATTCAAGTCAAAGTCGGGGGAAGCTCAGAGGTGAACTTTCCTGAGCTGAACACAGAAAAGAAACTGCATCTGGGTCGGGGGGTGGGGGCAGGAGCGGCTGGGGTTGTGTTCAGCAAAACAGACAAATAAACATCTTGGATTTTCTATGCATTTAAGGCAAAGGTTGGAAGTGGGTGGTCCAGGGTACATACAGGTTTGCTTGGCCCTCAAAGGATAAGCCTACACAGAAACCCCTTTGAGACAAGGGTCCGTGCCAGGACTGCTTCCCTTCTTTTGGTGGTTGGCTGGCCCTTGTAAACAGTTGAGTACCTCAATTTAAATGAATTCTTGTTTGTTTGAAACCAGATCTTGAAACAAGGTCTTGCTTTGTTGCCCAGGCTGCAGTACAGTGGTGTGATCATAGCTCACTGCAGCCTCAAACTCCCGGGCTCCAGCAATCCTCTCATCTCAGCCTCCCAAGTAGCTAAAACTACAGATGCATGTCACCACATCTGGCTAATTTAAGAATTTTCTTTTGTAGAGATGGGGTCTTGCAATATTCTCTAGGCAGGTTTCAAACTCCCAGCCTCACATGATCCTCCCACCAGAGCCTTCCAAAGCGCTGGAATTACAGGCCTGAGCCACTGCACCTAGTCAAAGGGAATTCTTTTAAGTAAACTAAGATATACTGGGAGAGTCAATCCACTATTAACTGAACCCAATTGCCTTCACACTCACTTGAAAGAAAAACCCTAGAGCGGCAAAGAAAAATCAAAAATAAAACAGGGAGAAGAAGGTCCCATGGTCAACTGGCCACAGAGGGCACACCAAAGGCAGATATACAAATACCACTTGCATTTAAGGGGACAAACAATAAAAGAATGTTCTAGATCTCCATTGCGTACCTGTGCATAATCTGCTGCTGACATTTTAATTTCTGATAATCGTAGAAGTCGATGATCCCTGGGCTCCAGTTTAATGTAATATTTCTCAAACATCTCTGTCTCAGTTTTGAGAGCAGAGTTTAAATAGCTGCAAGACAGGGTACCTGAGTAAGTTCTAGTAAGAGTTTAAACCCCAAATAACTAGTGTTTAATAACTAGTGGACCTGCAAGACCCCTTAGCCTCTTGGTGCCTTAGTTTCCTCACCTATAAAATGGGCATATGAATAGCATCTAACTTTTAGGGTACATCCAATAAGGAAGACAAAGCCTTTAGGACAGGGCCTGACACACAGTAAGTGCTATATATTTGATATTTTTATTAATATGTTTAATGAGCTACAAAATGCAGAAAACTAGTATTACATTGAAAATTGTCATAGGTTTCATCTTCAAATATCATTGAACCCATTTGGGAAATTCTTTCTGAATTACTATATATATATATATATATATACATATTATGATTTTATATATATAGTATGAATACACACACACACACACACACACATATATATATATATATATATATAGAGAGAGAGAGAGACAGGTTTTCACTCTGTTGCACTCACTGTAACCTTGAACTCCTGGGATCAAGCAATCTTCCTGCCTCAGCCTTCTGAGTAGCTACGACTACAGATGCACGTCGTACCTGGCTAATTTAAAATTGTTTTTGTAGAGGTGGTATCTTGCTATGTTGTCAAGGCTGGTCTCAAACTCCTGGCCTAAAGTGATCCTTCCACTTTGGTCTCCCAAAGTGCTGAGACTACAGGCCAATAGCCACTGTGCCCAACCTGAATTACTATATTCTTGAAGTTATACACACCCACAATCTTCAGAAGTTTCCTTTGGTTTGTATCTTTCAGTTCTTTTATTTCCAGCATCCAATAGATAAAAAGTATTAACTGGAAGTTTATCAAAAACTTTGAACTGGCCAGGCGCGGTGGCTCAAGCCTGTAATCCCAGCACTTTGGGAGGCCGAGGCGGGTGGATCAAGAGGTCAAGAGATCAAGACCATCCTGGTCAACATGGTGAAACCCTGTCTCTACTAAAAATACAAAAAATTAGCTGGGCATGGTGGTGTGTGCCTGTAATCCCAGCTACTCAGGAGGCTGAGGCAGGAGAATTGCCTGAACCCAGGAGGCGGAGGTTGAGGTGAGCCGAGATCACGCCATTGCACTCCAGCCTGGGTAACATGAGTGAAACTCCGTCTCAAAAAAAAAAAACAAAACAAACAAAAAATAAAACTTTGAACTGAGCAACAGATAACATACCTACTTTATCCTGTATATGCCAAGGTTATAACCTTTTTAACTTCTCATATGTGTGTACGTGTTACATACAAGTATGTATATGTATGTATACAAGAGAGAGAGGACAACTTTGACGTTTTCATGTGTTATTGATCTATTAGGCTGGTCAGAAAGTAACTGCAGTTTTTGTTATTACTTTTAATATTCCTGTTTGGCTGAATTTTAAGACTAGTGAAGCCAGGCGCAATGGCTCGTGCCTGTAATCCCAGCACTTCGGGAGGCCAAGGCAGGGGGATCACCTGAAGTCAGGAGTTTGAGACCAGCCTGACCAACATGATGAAACCCCGTCTTTACTAAAAATACAAAAATAAGCTCGGTGTGGTGGTGGGCGTCTGTAATCCTAGCTACTCAGGAGGCTGAGGCAGGAGAATCGTTTTAACTTGGGAGGTGGAGGTTGCAGTGAGCTGATAACACACCACTGCACTCCAGCCTGGGCAACAGAGTGAGACTCTGACTAAAAAACAAACAAACAAACAAAAAACTAGGCTGAATGGAAAGCACAATACATCAAAGTATCTTGCTTTTTCGAGGTGTATGTAGTCTGCGGAGATGCACCTGAGTTTGATGCCCAGCACTACCACTGACTTGCTGTGTAAACTTAGGGCAGGGACTTAACCTCTGTGTCTTTGTTTCCTTACCCACCTCTTAGGGTTGCAGTGTCATTATATAAAGTCATATATGTAAATGCATGGTACACAGAAGCACTAAAAAATGATAGCTATTAGTAACATACCTCAGTTCTGAACTAAGGTACTTGTAGATGTACAGAAGTAACATCTATTCAGCTGCTAAAGCTAGGATATTCTGTGCAAGACCAGTAAGTTGTACAACTAATCTTAACTACATCATGGAATCTTGATATCCAATTTACTTGCTATAGTAGTAGATATAAAGCAAACTGCCAAAATAAAATAAATGTAGAATATTGGGCCACTCATTCTTTACTGTCTGTTTACCTAGGTTCAGCACATGTTGCCACACACTAAAACCATCTCAATAGCTTGCTTTCTATTCTGCTGCCGTATTAGTTTTATCATAGAATTTTTTTTTTTTTTTTTTTTTTTTTTTTTTTTTTTTTTTTTTTGAGACAGTAGTCTCTTTCTGTCGCCCAGGCTGGAGTGCACTGGCGCGATCTCGGCTCACTGCAACCTCCGCCTCCCGAGTTCAAGTGATTTTCCTGCCTTAGCCTTTTGAGTAGCTGGGATTACAGGCGACCGCCACCATGCCTGGCTAATTTTTATATTTTTACTAGAGACGGGGTTTCACCATTTTGGCCAGGCTAGTCTCGAACGCCTGACCTCAAGTGATCCGCGCGCCTCCACCTCTTAAAGTGCAGGGATTATAGGCGGGAGCCCCGGCGCCAGGCCTTATCATAGAATCTTAGCATCAGAAAAACCTGCCGCTGCAGAATTGTGGATCTGCTAAGCACACCGTCTGGCACAACAGAAGCTAATCTGGTTGAAACTCTCACTTCCCTAATTACCCTCTGGGCTTCCTACCACTGGCCGCACCCCCTCTTCCCACCACCGCATTCTAGCTCCGTCAACGGCTTGGTGGCTCAGGTGGTGGAGACGCAGAGGTAAAGAGGCAAAGTCTCCCCAGAAAGGGCTTGGATCTTCTCCATGCTGGTCCCCAGGTCCGAGGCCGCCAGGGAAGGAGGGCCCAGGAGGAGAAGGGGCGGCCCCCAGGCATGGCCGCGGTACCTGAGCTCCTCCACCAGCCCGCACAGCTGGATAACAGGCAGGTCCTGCTCCGACCCTTCTTGGGACTCGGAGAGGACGCTCTCGGAGTCATCATCAGTCATCACTGCTATAGCGGTCCCCCGCCAAAGCCGACTGTGCCCAGAAACTCCGGCTGCCGGCGCCCCCACGTCACTCTGGCTGCGACGCGGCGGTGCGTTGCCCGGGCGACCGGACGCGAGGAAAGGGGTGGGGCTTCCGACGACCCCGCCCCGTGCTGCCCCGCAGGTTTCTTCAAGGACCCAGCCAGGTTGCTGGCCTTGAGCGCACACCTGAGCGCGTTCACTTTCACTTCTTTAACAATAACTCTTAAATTGAGAGTAATAATAGCAGCTGCTGTTTCTCAGTGCTTACTGTGTCCTTGGCGGCCTGTTAACTACAGTTTAAGAAAACCTTCGCCACAACCTTGTAATGATATCCATCACTCTTTCCATTCTCCAAATGAGGAAACTGGGGCCCAGAAAGTTATCAGAGTGTCCTTCTTCCCCTATCTTGCTGGAAGGCCCCAGCTCTGTTCACCACCTGGTGCTTCCTACAATCTCTGAGAGAACAGCGGCTTCTCTCAGATGTTAACATTCTGCATTTCTGGAAGAAAAAAAACGTGGCTGATTAAAAATGGGTATACATTCAAGATACATCCCTAAACAGTCACTGAATATCTACTGTGTCCTTGGTGTCTGTAAGGGTTATTCTCTGTAAGGTTTATTGCCAAGTTTAAAATGAGGAAACTGAGGCCTGCATGAGAACAATTAGATGCCAATTCGGCTCCTGGGCGAGGTTCTATGTTCCAGGGAAAGGGAGCCAGAGAAGTCAGGCCTGAGCCTCAGGCGTGGGGTTAGATACGGAGGGAAGGCGCTCTGATTGCCTGTGGAGAAATAGGATGTGGACGTGGCAAGCTGCTATAGGTAAGCAGGCTGGATTTCCAGTGAGTGGGCTGGACAGGGCAATGCGTTATTGGGCAGGTTTTGGCAGGGCTTCTTTTAAATTTTGGTGGAGTTTTCCAACGGCTGGCTAGGTGCCGAGTGCAGAGTTTAGTGTCAAGTGCAGATCCTGGTGCTGAGTGCAGAGGGAATTTCCAACGGCGGGCTAGGTGCCCAGTGCAGAGGTTAGTGTTGAGTGCAGAGGTGGGCATGGAGAAGCTAGATGCTGAGTGCAGATTCTGGTAATGTAATTTTCAGGCGTGAAGAGGGATACGCGTCTCTGAGCTTCCGGCGAGACAGCCAGCCTTACGGTATCCTAGAGGGAATGTCTAGAAAAGACCACTCTGATCCTCAAGGAGCTTCCAACTAAATGAGGGAAGCAGCCTCTAAAGAAGCCGCTACAACCTGGGGTACCTACAGCAACATCATGCGTCACACTGTGCTTGGTAGTCATCTCCTGAAATCCTCAAAACAGTTGGGTACAATTGGTATTACTGCTGTCATCTTACAGATCAGAAAACCAAGGACTGGAGTAGCTTAGGTTCCATTCCACTCAAGAATGGAATCAAGCGCCGGTGGAACCCAAAGTCCATGCTGTTAACTTCTATGCTGATGTGTGACATCGCAAGGATCAGGGAGGCAACACGGGAGCTCTCTGTCTGCTCCCTATAGGGATAAAAGAGGACACAGGGCAGGACAGGGAGACTTCTCTTAGGGAGGGTGAGCTCTGGATGTGCTTAAAAAGCAAGCTGTGATACACTGCTTGGGGTGCGGGTCAGCTCCCCCTTCTCCTGCAAGGGGCATGCTTTAGCATTGACAGGCACTCACTAGATCTGAGGGAGGGCTTTTGTTTTGCTGCTTAGGGTGCACAAGGTTGGGGCCAGAGTAGAATTACTGAAGATAACATCGGAGATCCTGAGCCCTACCACCTTATTTCTGGCAGTAGGCCTCTTTAGGTTCTAAGGGCAAGGCAGACCACATTTAGGAACACTTAATATGTCCATATACAAGGTGATGCAAATGGATGCTATCCCCACTGACATAGACAGTCGCCAGCTCCAAGTGAACGCAGAGCAAGAAAGGGCCCTGTAGCAAGTCAAGGTTATGATGCAAACAGCCCTGCCAACTGTGCTGTGTGATACAATAGACTCTATGGCATTGGGGGTGTCAGTGGTGAAAAAAAGATGCAGCAGGCATCTTAAAGCAAGACCCAGCAGGAGAATCACAGCAAAGGAGCCAGGACTCTGAAACAAGACCATGCAATACACAGCAGAGAATTGTCTTTTGAGAAAAACTCCTGGCCTGTTACTATACCCTGGTAGAGACAGAACACTGGATACATAGGGTACCAGGTGATCATGCATTAGTCCTGCCCACTACCAGCTGGGTTCCACTGGACCCACTGAGTCATTAAGTAGGACAGGCCAAGCCTCAGAACACTGCAAATGGAAATGGTTAATCCAGGATTGGGCCCCAGCAGGATCAGGAAGCATGAGCAAGCTGCATGAGCAGGTAGCCCAGGCCAGCATGGCACCCACCACATTTGCACTAGGATCCCTCCCCCAGCTCCAATGTATGACTGTATTTGCAGGAGGTTGGGAGTTCATGACCACCTGGAAGAGAAGGAAAAGGCTTGAGTTCAGTTCACAGATGGGCTGGCTTAGAAGCCAAAAATGGACAGTGGCTTCATTACAATCACTTCATGAAAGGTGGTGAAATACAGTGGAGAGGAAAAAGCTTCCCAATTGGCAGAGTTGTAAGTGAGGGTGCAGCTGGTCATCTATTTTGTGTAGAGAGAGAAAATGGTCCCAGGGGACCCATCTGTTTGGCAACTTCGGTTTTTGTTTTTTGTTTTTTTTGTTTTTTTTTTTTTTTTTTGCAGGAGGAGTTTTTTTTTTTTGAGACAGGGTCCCACTCTGCTGCCCAGGCGGGAGTGCAGTGCAGTGGCGCAATCATAGCTCACTGCAACCTTGAAGTCCTGGGCTCAATTGATCCTCCCACCTCAGTTTACGGAGTAGCTGGGACTACAGAGGCATGCCACCATGCCTGGCTAATTTATTTCTTGCTCTCTCTCTTTCTCTCTCTCTGTCTCTTTCTTTTCTTTCTTTCAGATGGGGGTCTCACTATGTTGCCCATGTTAGTTAGTCTGGAACTCTACCCTTGAGTGATCCTCCTGCCTCAGCCTCTCAAAGTGTTGGGATCACAGGCATGAGCCACTGTACCTGGCCTAATTGGCATCATGGACTCAAAGACTCCCCATCAGGCTGGCTGGAACTTTGTTAGCACTGTGCTTTGATCTGAGATGCTTGCTCCCTGGGGCTCCCTCCCTCCTCTCCCAGATGTCATCACAGTGGGAGGCTGTCCTTGTCTACTCCAGCTTCCTCTCCTTTGTCCATCACAGACGCTTTCCCCAAGAAATAGATCTCTTCATGTCTAATTTTATCTTGGTTTGGAGGACTCAAGCCAACACAAAGAATAAATTTCAATCTTAATGGCATTATTCTAATTTGGTAACATATTACACGTATGAACTAAAATTTGCACTTGCCAAACAAAAATGTTGTTTGGATCACCCTTTTGTTCAAGCTGTTTTATATGTTTTAAAAATTGTGGTTAAAAAATACATAACATGGCCAGGCGCAGTGGCTCACTCCTGTAATCCCAACACTCCGGGAGGCCAAAGCAGGTGAATCACCTGAGGTCAGGAGTTCAAGACCTGGCCAACATGGCAAAATCCTGTCTCTACTAAAGATACAAAAATTAGTGGGGCATGGTGGCAGGCACCTGTAGTCCCAGCTACTTGGGAGGGTGAGGCAGGAAAAATCACTTGAACCCGGGAAGCAGAAGTTGCAGTGAGCCGAGATCTCGCCGTTACACTCTAGCCTAGGCAACAGAGCAAGACTCTGTCTCAAAATAAATAAATTAATTAATTAATTTAAAAAAAAAATTTACCATCTTTTTTTTTTTTTTTTTTTTTTTAGTAAACGTCCCTGAAAATCATAAGCAAAACTTATGTAGCCTTCCGAAAGCGCTGTAAGATGATGACTTTTCTATTTATTTATTTTTTGAGACAGAGTCATGCTCTTCTTGCCCAGGCTGGAGTGCAGTGGTGTGATCTCGGCTCACTGCAACCTCCGCCTCCCAGCTTCCAGTGATTCTTCTGCCTCAGCTTCCTGAGTAGCTGGGATTACAGGTGTGTGCCACCACACCTGGCTAATTTTTGTATCTTTAGTAGAGATGGGGTTTTACCATGTTGGTCAGGCTGGTCTCGAGCTCCTGACCTCGTAATCTGCCCGCCTCAGCCTCCCAAAGTGCTAGGATTACAGCGTGAGCTACTGCGCCCCACCATTGCCTTAACTTTTAAACACAAATTAAAATTCCAAAAAAAATCACTCAGAATAACAAAACTGAAGTAACTCAAGTTCCATTTCTTTTTCTTTGCAATTACTGAACTATCATCATTTATTCTGAACCCATTGTTCAAATGCAAGAATATATTATATCACAGGAGCTGGAGGTGAGAACTTCACCCAAAACAAGCCCAAACTTTTCCAAACCTATAGGAACTTATTCACAAAATGAATGAGTGTAGCTGAGTCTGTGTGTATCAGGGGATGATTATACAGCAAGGAGTTCTCTGAATTGAAATATGCCGATTTGGAGCCAAAATGTGTATCGTTAAAGCTCAATATGTAATGTAGCGGTTATTTAGGACTTAGAGCCACCCATGAGTTTTGTGGGGGAGGAGAATTTTGTTATTGTCATTGTTTAGAATTGCCACCACCTAGTAATAACAATCTTTAAAAGACCAACTTTTGGTTGATTTTATTAGTGTTTTAAAGGTCTTTATAGACAAGGCAGTTCTAAGTTATTTCCTACACCATGGGTAGAACCTCCCGCTGCCCTGCTCTTGGTACCCATTGAGAAGTGACAATTCCTTTGGCAACAGCTGTCCTAGTACTCTGGACTTTCTCTGTAAGGGAAGGCACATGAGGGGTTACCACAGGAGGGGTTTCACGTGCCAAATGAGGCGTCTCCAGACTGTCACTTGATGAGCTTATTGAGACTCTGGAGTTTGGGAGCAAGGGGCTGACATCTGCCTCATGTCCCAAGAAGTTGAAAGTAGAGGCTGGGGGAATCTGCACATCTAAGCGGGAGGCAGGGCAGGGACTAACAGGGAGCAGGCTGCTCTGACATCAAGATGGGGCTAGAGAAAGGATTTTCAT